ATTAGTTTTTAAGACATTTCATTGAAAGCCGAAGTACAGAGTTACATCTCTAGTAGGCAAATAAATTACCTTTTTAGGTAGAGTCATTTAATTTGTTCTTATATTTTATTATTTGTAAATTCAGATAATTAAAGATCAATTATGTATAACCAGGGATTTTTTTTTGTATATTAGTAACTAGGTTAACTGTACATAATTGTTGGTGGTTAGCTATAAAAAATAGATTGTATATATTTGGATAGGTATTAAACTTTGTGGTGAAAATTAAATATTTTAAGTAATACCTTTTTCCCTTTTATTTCAGCAAACAGCTTTACAAGATACCTTGGAAGGTATATGTTAATACTTTCCTGGCGCCCAATCACATCCTAGAGCAACTTCCATAGTTTACCACTTTCATTTGCATTATTTCTATTTTTTATTACCTCTTCTTTCATTTTCTCATCTTACGTTTTCTGTGAGGCATGCAAATTGGCCGAATCCTCTTTTGAGAGTCAAGTAGTCACTCTCCAGCACATTCTGCTAGCCAGCTTTAATTTATTTGTTTTTTGTTACATTACTTCAAATACTTGTGTTACATTACACATACACATTTTTATTACAATGGCGTCCCACACTTTCCAGTTTCACATTTTTTGTTACAACTTCTAAATAAATAAAACCATTTTAAAAAAATGAAGATTTGTAAATATAAACGTAGAAATCGGCAAACCACCAGTCTCAAAAAGATCTATCTTCGATTTTTTTTAAATATCAACTAAACCATGTTCAGACATAAACTGTAAGGAATAAAAATGCAAAAATACAACGTAGTCTCATGTATCCAAAATACCAACATCTACATTCTGAATGGTAAAATAATTGATAAAAATCGTACAATTAACAAAGTAGACAAATGGGCTAGCGGTTAGACACTTTTCTACGATCTCAGTATTCTCAGTGTTATCATCTACCACTTCTTTTGCACACTAGGGATGTGTAGTTCACCATCGAAATAGTTCAAATGAACGATTCTTTCAACTGAACTAATTGAACTAGTTCATTAATTTTCATAGAACTAGTTCACTGCGAACGATTTGCATTATAAATTGTGTCTCAACTTTTAAAGAAGAAAATAATTAATGAATGAGTGAGAACATATATTTATTATTTTGTGAATGGATGGACTAACTAGTTAAAAAACTGCCGATTAGCCTCAGGTAACAGATTCATAATTCGTATGAATGTGACAATAACATAAAGTCTTATCTTTATGTCATAATGGTTCGGATTTTATGCCCGTGTATTGGCTTAGATGTTGCCTTGCTGTGTTGTTTCTTGCATTGTAATTTTGAAAAAAAAAATTTAGTTGTGGTTAAAATGATTAAGGCATTTACATAAAATATAATTTTATGTAAAAGTGAGAATGAAAATGTGAAAATTTAATGTTCCTAGAAAATTCACTGATTTTTTTTGTAAAGGTTCTTTTAGAAATAACCTAATTATAAATAACTACGAGTTTAAATATACGTAAATATAAAAATAAATCATACGTGAACCATATTTATATTTAAAACGGTTAATAAAAGACAAATCTTAATAATTTTTTGCAAATAAAAACTAACTGATCATATAATAATTTAAACCATTTAAACCTAAACACACGATCGAAAAAAATAGTTCCGAACTACTTGTACGGTAGTGAACTAGTGAAAGACTGACTGAAAACCGAAGAAAACGGGCGGCCAGCGCCGAGCTTGTGTGATGATTGAGATGAGACATCTGGCAACCAGATATGTTAGGGTTGGATTTCGATGTCGGTCCTACAAATAGTTCTTTCGCGAACTAGTTCACTGAACTAGTTCATTTTTGTGAAATAGTTCTTTTGAACTAGTTCGTCTAAAATAACTGATAAGCACACCTCTATTGCACACAATAATTTTCCCTAGATCCACAAGTGATCATCTATAGTCCAGTGTGCTGTCATATGTTAATGGTATTAGTTTGACATCAGACTCAAGAAATTCTGTAAACTTCTTTTGGTTTTTTTTTGTACATCGGCTTTAGCAGCTCCTGTCCTAAGTTTGTGACCAATGCGCTGAAGTTCTGTTTAGAATTATTAGCTTAACTAAATTTATGAATTCTATATAAATAGGAGAATCTTACTCGGCATCTCTATTAAATGTTATTTCTGTCATCTTATCTATCTGTAGTTTGGTTGTTTTTGTATAAATCCATAAAATGTTTTCCCAATAATTTTTCTTTATTTTTGTACTGGCTTTTTTGTATTATATTGTTATTTTATATATTTGGATATTCACTTGTTATCCTTATTATTAATTTCTAACTATTGCAAAACGTCTTCAAAATGCTTTATCATCCAAGAGAACAGAAACTCGGTAGAATCATTAAATTAAAAGCAACATTACTTTTTTTAATTATATTCTCAACACTGCTTGCAATGAAACTACTGATATTTACTCTGTCTTAAAATCTACTTCTTATGAGTATTAAATAAACTATTATTATAGAGGGCAAAAGAATATTAGATTTCTATGATTTTCTAATACTGTTACATGGTAATACCACTTCTGAGGTGCTAATCCAAAACATTCTAAAAAAATTACTCAAACAAAACGTACACTAAAGATGCACGTCAAACCTCGGTAATCTAAACTTTATTCAGCATACAAATCTGAGCACCAAAGAATAAAAATCAACTACTAAAAATAGCACGGACAACTAGCAAGTAAGTATAAAGTAATTATAGTGAATTAAATAGTTAATTTAAGGTAATAAAACAGTCATTCTTTAAAAATATGCAAAAGCCTTCAGAATATAATCTTATCACTGAAAAATACTAAAACATAGACAGGTCAGCCTTTTCCTAAATCTACCCCTAAAGTGCTTAAATATAGATTGGCAATTATACTATAAAACTTATTTAGATTTTGAATTAAATATATTGTAAAGCTAAACAAAACGTCCAAGAGTTTTTCTAAATTTCTAGGCCAAAACCATTGACTAGTAAAATATAAGAAACTTGTATCTATTTTAATGTTAGTCACTAATACCATTATATATATATATATATATATATATATATATATATATATATATATATATATATATATATATATATACTGGGGTGCAAAATTAATCGGACACACAAATTTTTCCTAAAAACTGGCGTTTAAAAAAGTTTAAGATGTTCCCAATTGAGTAAATAATAAAACACAAAATTTAAAAGTCAAATTTATCACAACTTAAGAATGTTACACAGAAAAAACAATAAACAATTCAAAAAATTTAAAAATCTGCAAAGAAACAAAAATTATTATTTTTTTAAAAATAAATATTTTTTATGGAAAACGATATTTAGTAGAGTGTATTAGCTCCACAATCCACGAGCCCTAATTACAGGTTTCATTCGATCCAGCATACATCGGATTAAGGCAGCAAAGTCTGTCATGAGGGATTTACTCCCATTTGTCACGAACTGTTTGCTCCAAGTCATTCATGGTTTCAAACTCATCATGGCTATGTCGAATACGTCGTTCCAGAATATCCCATGCATGCTGTATTGGATTTAAGTCTGCACTCCTTGGGGGCCATGGTAATAAACGAATCCCAACTTCATCAAAGGTATCCCGTGTTATTATTATGATGTGTGTACGAGCATTATCTTGTATCAGACGAAAGTTTTCTCTAAAAAATTGAGCAAATGGCAATACATGATCTTCAAAACATTGCTGCATATACCGTTGATCGTTCAAATTGTCCCCTTGAATTGTAAGTTTTGTATAAGCCTCTATAGAAATGCCTACCCACACCATTATACCACCTCCGCTGAATTGAACTTTCGGAGTAAGACAACATTGCTGATAACGTTCACCAGCTCTTCTCCATATTCTAGGCCGCTCATCTGATAAGTTTCTGTTAAATCCTGATTCATCCGTAAAAAGCACAGCACTCCACTCGTCAAAACCCAAATTAAGATGTTCGCGAGCGAAGTGTAAACGTTGCTTTCGAAGTGTAAACGAAATATTGTCTTGATCCTCTTGATTTAAGAATTTTGTCGATTTTGTTAGTAAGACCTTTGATGTAATGAAGAAATGCTTTCATATGATGAGGGTCTGAGTCTGAGAAAAACGGGGTATTTTCGAATTTTATCTTTATGAAAGAGTTAAATGGGGACTTTTACAATGAATTTTTATAATGGGGTTAACCAACCGAGATTTGAGGTTATGTACAAATAAATGAGTAAAAAAACGGTTATTTTATTTTTTTGTGTTTCCGCTCAGAAATTGAAAATTTTGCCTTAGCCATTTAGAAGAACGAAAAAAAATACATAAAAAATTACTATTTAAAAGTTAGCCAAAAATTATTAACATAACCTAAAAAATTATTGAAAATTTCAATGATTTTTCCTGAGCTCAATTTTCAATATAAAAATCTGAAAAAAATCAGGCTATATAACCTAACAAATTTTTGAAAATTTCAATGATTTTTCCTAAGCTCAATTTTCAATATAAAAATCTAAAAAAATCAGGCTATTTTATATTCAAAAAGTTAAATCTTCATTAATTCTTTCAGATTTCTTAGTGCAAAATTGCGTCTAGAAAAAAATAAAGTCGAAAAAAGCTTAATTTTTAGATTTAAAGGGTTCCATTGGCTTTCGGAAGCTAAAAATGTGTCATGTTTTTTATATCCTTGATTGAAAGCACAAGTCGCGGTGCTGATCGGTGCAGGGTCACTTTTGACCATCTTATCCCGCTATATAGCCTTATAGCCTTTATTCATAAAAAGAATTATAATAATGTGTCCCTAATTGATCGTAAATTCTTAACAAAAATAGTCTATAAAATATTATTTACACTCACTATTGGAAGTCGTTAACCTCTAGGGACCATTTGTTAATGCCAAAAAACGGAAGAGATCAACCATTGAACCAGTTCGAATTTCTTTCTTGACTTGTTGGCAAAAGACGCTACAATACACATAAAATAACAAACAACGTTTTGAGAAGACCTTTATTTTTCCTATAAAATTTTATAAAATAACACAACTAAGGACTAAGTGACATATGTGCCTATGTATCACAAAAATATATTTAAACAATTGGAAGTTACATAGATTTATAGTATAAAGTATAAACACAATATTTTTGCAGTATCTTTTCATGTACAGTCATCGTAAAGTTACATAAACATATTTATTTTATATTTTCTCTAAATGCTTTGTTACTGCTTTAAATATTATTTCTTCCAAAAATAAATCATCAATTTGTACATGTAACGTTTTTGCAAAGTTTGTTCCGAAAACATACTAATTTATTGCTTCTTAGTTAGAAACTACTGTATAGTTAAATAATTTACGTATTTTTACTTCCTTTTAAGTACTTCTTGTTAAGTTTTTGGGCTTAAAAATGTCTCTTCTCAGTTTCTTATCTTGTTTAGTGAATGTAGTAGCTACAGCATTAGTTAATTAACCTTATGTCTTAATAACTGATTTTAAAATCCATTTTATCTTTCTGTTTTTTATAAAATTGTAATAAAATCTTATATTACGTCAATATAATGATATTGTGAAAGTTTTTATCAGAGCAGAATTGTTTAATTTGTTAAGGAACTTTTATTATATTTGGTATGATATAATATAAACTTAAAAATATTTGTGAGCGTAACCAAACTAAATAAAATAAATAATTATTGTAATATCACCTCTGTTCAATGTTTTTACATAACGTAAGTAAAAATATCTATTCTTAATTCGCAATATTTCTTGGAACGTATCTTAAATAGGAATGTATCGTTTCATGATTCTTTACATATTGTAAAATATTCAAAAAACAAAAAAGATCACCTATGAAATTGTTTCAATTTCTTTATTTAATTTTTTAGGCTCTATAGATTCACCCTTTAGAATACTTTGAATTTCTTGCAAAGACCTACCTTTAGTTTCAGGAATACAAAAGTACGTAAATATCGCTACAAAGAAAGCATAACCACCAAACACATAAAATGGTAGGTAAATATTTATAAGTCTTGTTAAAATCTGATATATTTGAATAGCAATAATACCTCCCAGTATAAACATACCATCAGCTACAGTCATACCAATAGCTTTCATATTGCTCGGAAATATTTCTGCAGTTAATATAATAGGTACTAACCCTGCGCCAGCTTTAAAGAAAGCCGCGTATATCATTACCGATACTAAAGGAATCCAACTAACGCTTGACACATCAATATGTAAATATTTTAAATGAAAATACACAGCCAGTGCTAGAAGGCACAATCCGGAAACAATTGCTGATACCATTATTAACATTCTTCTTCCATACTTATCTACTTGAAGTGATGCGAAAGTAACTGACACCAACATTATAGTCGCAAATATTATAGCTGTTAGTGACGAATCCATATAAATTGATCCAGCAGCCGCCAAAATCAAATGTAAATTCATTAAAATTACAGTGTAAGCACAAAGATGCTGGCCGGTATTAAGAACTGTCATTATGGTAATCGCCTTTCTATTACTTTTGACTAAAATTAAATCCTGTGGATGTACTTTTGTGATATTTTGTTTAACTAACATTTCTGTTATACTAGTTACTTCTTTTTCAATGTCCTGGTAAGGTTTGAAAAACTGTAAGGCTTTCTTTGCTTCCTCCTCTTTCCCTTTAGATATTAAATAGTACGGGGACTCGGGCATAAAACTGAAGACCAATAATTCTGTCGTAACAAGAAATATACCAATGATTGGTGTTACGTAATGTGGTGTATAAGGACCAACAATGTAAACAATGACTGTTCCAGTATGGACCATCATATAAATTATTCCAGATAAAAATCCTCTTATTCTCTGATCCGATATTTCAGCCATATACATTGGACACGCTACAAATGCCATATCTCCTGCCATACCAAGAAAGAATCTGAAATAAATGATTAAGAATATGTTATAAAACTATTCACTTACATTAAATAACTAAAAATTTAATTATTTTCCAATGAATTCAAACATTAAAACATAAGTTGGAATTACAAAATATATATTTCTATATTCATATCTTGTTTTAATTTCCTTATTTCTCCTTAATCACGTATGCCTTATAAACAAAAATATCTTGTTACTATATGAATTTATGGACGTTACCTTTACATCAATCGTCCCTTAATGAACAAGTAGACGGGGCGAGTTTAGAAGCTAGCATGAAAAAAGCCGAAGAGTCGGCAAGTGAGCTGTAGTCGAGTACACACAAAATTTCCTACTTGCTGAGTAGGCAACTAGCTGATGTGTGAAAAACACGTGTAATCATCTGTTATTATAATGTAGGCGTGTGTACAAATAATTTGGATATAATAACGGCTCACTATTTTAATATAATCTTTGTTGAAAACGATTTCAAAGTGGAAATCGAAACTTCAAATTTCAGTTATAAAGTGTAATTTGTATTACAATCAATTATGGTTTAATTCCATATAAACATAATATTTAACTTTATTAAGAATTCTATTAAAAATATTGAACGTAATTATAAAATAAATTCTATAAATCTACACCCACCCTTGTTAATATTTCTCGAGGACCCTTAAGCTAACGGGGACACATGAGCGGAATCCACTTTAACCTACGACATATTTTTTTATCCATTTGTCACTAAAATATTACCACTCTAATAATTTTTCACCACACCAAACCACCCTTAAGGAAAGCCATTCTGCTGACTTAAAATTCAAGCTAGCTGAATTAATAAAAACTTTTTCCCTGTGGCATATTTTTCACCCATTTTTCACTAATTTAATAGCACTCTACTAATTCTATACCACCAAACCACCCTTAAAAGGAGTGATTCTGTTGGTTTAAAGTTTAAGCTAGTAGAATTGAACAAAAAAATTGTTGACTATAGCAAATTTTTTCACCCATTGCTCACTAATTTATTACCTATCCGATATTTTTTATCCCCAAACCTACCCCTAATGGTAGCGATTCCGCTAGCTTAATATTTAAGCTAGCAGAATTAAAAAATACTTATTTATAATATACCAAAGTGTTCTGCTAGATTTTTAAGAATTTATTACCACCCTAGTAATTATTCACATATCAACTACCCCTTATGAGAAATCAATAATTCTGTTAAATTTAATTTTAAGACAAAGTGATCTGTTAAGTTTATACCAAACTTTGATCACTTTGATAATTTTTCGCCCCAAAACTAATCTTATTTGAAAATTTACCCCCTAGTTTATTATTCGAGCCAGCGAAATTAAAAAATATATTTTTAAAATACCACAGTGGTCTTCTAGGTTTTTACAAATTTATTACCACCCTAGTAATTTTTCACGCCTCAACTGCCCTTATGGGATGTCAATAATTCTATTATGTTAAAATTTTAGGTAAAAAATCTTCTTTTACAATTTTACTGTCCGCTACTTATAACTGATGTTTTTTTATTATTATTATTGAGTTAATGCCTCGACAACTAAAATTATTGGCATGGTACAGTCAGGTACCTAGTGTAGTGTGTGTGTGTATGTGTAGAGTAATTGTCTTGATACTTAGCAAAGTCGACGTCAATGTCTTTGCTAAGAGACGCTAATTGTATCCGAACGTCTGCGGTCCCTCCGGTGAGTACCGATCGCACAAGGATAGAAATTATTTTTATTTATTAATTTTTAATAAACGAAAATTTCTCCACCCAGATGAGATTCGAACTCACGACCTTTAGGTTTAAAGGTAGGCGCTCTTACCACTGAGCCACAGAGGGGGTTATCTGATGTTTTTATTAAGTTAAATATTAGTGTTTTATTAAGTTGTTACTAAACCTTGACCATATTAATAATGTTCCACCCTTAAACCAGTTATTTGAAAACGTTCCCGCTAGCGCAACATTCGACCTAGTGGACCTACAAAAAAATTGAAATACCACTGTGTTCTGCTAAATTTTACTAGTAATTTTTCACCCCTCGACTAACCCTTGTGGGAAGTCAATAATTCTGCTAGGTTAAAATTTAGGGTGAAGAATTTTTTTTATAATTTTACTATACTCTTTTTACAAGTAAAATAAGAAACTGCTCTGGCAGTTTTTAGTTTTTATTAAACCAACATAAAATAGAGCATTGGAGCACGGTGGGGTGACTCCTGTTTTTTACTCGAGTTAACACACCTTGCTCTAATGAATTGTTACACCCGATCTTACTACCTGGGTGAACATTTCTCATAGGCTGGGTTCAATTAAATTGCTTGCTTTGATTATTTGCCTAGTAAAATAAATATATTATAATAGTAGAATGTCAAAAATTTAAAGATATTTATATTTTTATTTTTAGTATTAAATGGATTAGTTAAGGAGTGAACAATTACTAGGGTGGTAATAAATTCGTAAAAACTTAGCAACACATTGTTGTGTTTCACTTTTTTTTTTAATTCCGCTGGCTCGAATATTAAAATGGGAACATTTCCAAAAAACATTGGTTTAGCGTTGGAAATTATCAGAGTGATATAAGTTTAGTAAATATTTAACAGAATCCTTTTATTTTAGTTATAAGTAGAGGACAGAGTAGAGAGTAGAATTCTAATTCTAAATTACAGCTCTAAGGATTTTTTTCTTTAAATTTCGACCTAACGGAATTATTGACTAAACACAAGGGGTACTTGAGAGGTGAAAAATTGCTAGTTGGTCAATAAATTTGTAAAAATCTAGCAGAACAGTATGGTATATCATAAATATATTTTTTTTTAATTCTGATAGCTTAAACCTTAAGCACGCAGAATCGCTTCCCTTAAGGGTGGTTTGGTGGTAAAAACTAATTAAAGTGGTAATAAATTAGTGAAACATGGGTAAAAAATATGGCGTAGATTAAACTGGATTTCGCTCATGTGTCCCCACTAGTTTAAGGGTCCTTATTTTCCCTACTGGTTAACCATATCGAATATTTTTGCCCACTCTTCGTCGAAATTGCCGTTAAATAATATTTCGTATTTCCACTACTTCTCCAGCTGGACCCAAAATATCTATCTGTTTAATTTATAATTAATTATTACAGCTAATTAATTGCACATTTTCATTATGTAGTAGATTTATGTCCAAACAAACAAACAAAGTCCAGATTTTCTTCAGATAATTTAAAGACAATTTAATCCAATTCACTTAGTCCAAAAATGCTTCCTAAGGGAGCTAAAGCTCTTTGAAAATAGCCGCTTGTACCTAATTAGTTTTTTGTTTTAGATACCGTCAGAAGATGCCATTATTTATCCTTTAGAGTTGAATCGATTTCACTAATTGCCAATTTCTAGTACCGGTCATAGACGTCCGCTTTAGATAAGTTACCTATTTTAACGCATAACTGTCTTTGGTTTTAGCTTTTAAGCATTCTTGGTACTAGATTATTAGATTTTTAGGTATTTTAGTAGTAAAAGGTACTCTTATTTTGTCGGTAGGACACACCGTTTTCGAGAAAAATCGATTTGAAATTTTTTCGTTTTTATGTCGTGAAAGTTAAATTATTATTTTTTGCACTGTTTGGCTGTGAACTGTCAACAGAAGTATAATCTACGTTTTTCATTGTCAAATTGTTGTCAGTTCGTTAAGTTTCTCTTTTGGTTTTTACTTTGTGACATTCAAACACAAGAATTTCAATTCAACAAAAATGGTTTTTACTAATTAAGAAGACGCTGATATACATTTAGTTTATTCCAAAATGAGGTATAACGCTCGAGCGGTAATATAGATATGCTGAGAAATTTCCCGACTAAAAGAAACAAGTTAACGAAAATTTATACATTACCGTTCAAAGACTATCTGTAACATGTATCCCACAAGTTTTAAATATTCTGCAGGAACTTTCTTACACAACAAAAATTTATATCCTTATAATTTTACAAAGGTACAAGCACAAGGAGATTTTGCTGTTCCTGAAGAAGTTGCTATATGGTTAAAAAATCAGAAAAATCAAAATAAAAAATTTTTTTAGACACATTTTGTTTTGCGATGGAGCTACATTCACAAAAAATGGAATTTTTAATTAACATAATGCACATTATTATTCGTACGTTGGTGACAATTCCCACGTTGTTCAAGAATTTAAACATCAGCACAGATTTAGCATAAACGTCTGGATAGGAGTAGTTGACGATTAAATTGATATTGACATAAATGATTAAAAATCAGGTGTGTTGCTGTAATCAGCTATAATTAATTTTCTTTGATAATATGTTAAATAATTTTTAACTAAAATAAAGTTCTATTTATTCTGTTTGCCAAAGGCTTCGTTGGATACTTTGTTAATTTTGTGTAAGCTTTGTTTGTCATTAGGTTTTTAATTTTATTAAATTAAAAAATGACTCCATAATAATCCTACCAGCAGACAAGGGGAATGCAACTGTGATAATGGATAAAATTCAGTATGAAAACAAAATTAAAAACCTAATAACAAACGGATTCTGTGGTAGTTCTAGCTTGCGTGGGGAAATAGCTCTGAACTGTGTAAGGGCTTTTCAGCAAGACAGACTGGGCAGGACAAGTCCTCAACCAAGACACGCGGATAGGTAATGGCGGATAGGAAACGTTCCTGTAGATTTGCAGCACAGGTGCGAATAAGGTCCAATCAAATGATTACCCGCGGATCAACTGAGGGCATAACATAGGGCAGCAGCTATGTCATTATTGCACTGGGGCAGTATGATCCATACAGGTCTAGTGTAAATTACTCACAAGCGACAACTACATCTTATTTTACTTGGCTGTGAGACTACGATCAGGCAGGCAACGGAAAACCACCTGATTATCTTCCCAGAGAGTGTTATGAAATGACGACTAAGCAAGAAAATTATGTGCTCTGCAATCCGGCTAGCAACCGGCGCCATATCGATTCCGGGTCGAGTGGTGTAAAATGAGCGACCGGGCAGATGATTGTGGACGACTAGGCAATATCT